AATAGTTCTTGCACAATTTGGAGGTGTGCTTTGGGTCATTGTCCTGTTGTAGGATGAAATTGGCTCCAATGAAGCGCTGTCCACAGGGTATGGCATGGCGTTGCAAAATGGAGTGATAGCCTTCTTTATTCAAAACCCCTTTTACCCTAAACAAATCTCCCACCTTACCAGCACCAAAGCAACCCCAGACCATCACGTTACCCCCACCGTGCTTGACAGATGGCGTCAGGCACTCTTCCAGCATCTTTTCAGTTGTTCTGCGTCTCACAAATGTTCTTCTGTGTGATCCAAACACCTCAAACTTCGATTTGTGCGTCCATAACACTTTTTTCTAATCTTCCTCTGTCCAACGTCTGTGTTCTTTTGCCCATATTAATCTTTTACGTTTATTGGCCAGTCTCAAATATGGCTTTTTCTTTGCCACTCTGCCCTGAAGGCCAGCATTCCGGAGGCGCCTCATCACTGTAGATGTTGACACTGGCGTTTTGCGGGTTCTATTTAATGAAGCTGCCAGTTGAGGACCTGTGAGGCGTCTATTTCTCAAACTAGAGACTCTAATGTACTTATCTTCTTGCTCAGTTGTGCAGCGGGGCCTCCCACTTCTCTTTCTACTCTGGTTAGAGCCTGTTTGTGCTGTTCTCTGAAGGGAGTAACACACCGTTGTAGGAAATCTTCAGTTTCTTGGCAATTTCTCACATGGAATAGCCTTCATTTCTAAGAACAAGAATAGACTGTCGGGTTTTACATGACAGTTCTCTCTTTATGGCCATTTTGAGCGTTTTCTCGACCCCACAAATGTGATGCTCCAGATACTCAACCTGCTCAAAGGAAGGTCAGTTTTATAGCTTCTCTAACCAGCTAAACTGTTTTCAGCTGTGCTAATGATTGCACAAGGGATTTCTAACCATCCATTAGCCTTCTGATGATTACAATGAGCAAATGAGCAAACACACTGTACCATTAGAACACTGGAGTGATAGTTGCTGGAAATGGGCCTCTATACACCTATGTAGATATTGCACCAAACGCCACACATTTGCAGCTAAAATAGTCATTTACCACATTAACAATGTACAGCGTGTATTTCTGATTAGTTTAAACTAATCTTCATTGGAAAAAAACTGTTTTTCTTTCAAAAATAAGGACATTTTGAAGTGACCCCAAACTTTTGAATGGTAGTGTACATGTTAATTATCAACAAAAATATACAGTTTTTAACTTTTAATGGGGTCAAGCTAAGCCATTGCAAAACACCTGGGTCTGGTAATATGTGAGATGGAAACCACAGTGTGTCTGAGTGCACTCATGCATGCATGCATTCAGTACAAAACTGCTTTACCTGTTGAATATTAGGCATCTAATGAAATTCTGTATGTACTGTGTAAGTTTTGGATGCATCCTCAGTTCACCTGCCATAGCCCCCTCACCCCCGACATATCAATGTTTCTGCAGTGTCACTGCAGTCAGAGAATTGAATTCAGGGTTGAAAACAAAACTGCCCATGTGTGTGAACAGTTGCAGATGGCAGACCCCGAGACAGCCAAAAGTACTCAGGATGGTCCCGGAGCCGGACATGACCAGAGCGACCCGGCAGGACCCCAGACCAGAACCTCCCCGTCCACCGTGAAGCAGGAGCCAGAGGTCTCCGGCGCCGCCGCTGCCAGCAATGGGAAAGTGGGGGACAGCAGCGGGCCTGCGGAGATCTGTGTGGTCATCGGGGGGTCCCGCAACGCGCAAGCACAGGGTACGGCCCCCACCCCCGCTGGGAAACCACCTGCTCGCGCTTCACACAGGACGCGCTTTTCTTATTTCCTCTGTCAGATTTTTCTATAAATTTTTTGTCTAAATCTCACTCTTCTGGACCAATCTTTTCAGGATGTGTAAAGGTTCTGTTTTGTCTAGAACTGCTGCCGTCTTGGTTTAATTTCTTCCAAACTGGCTGAAATTGGGTCATTGGCACCTCCCCACCCTTTATAAATGTGCTTCTCTTTCTGTGTGTTGCACAGTTTACAATTTTAAAGCAGCTGCTTTCACATGCGGCCGCTTAATATCTTTTATAGTTGCAGCTGATTGGTGAGCTTCCAGCTTTATATGTATGTGTTTTTGCCCCTGGGGATATGCCTGCGGCACAGTGGACTCTCCTGTCTCTAGACGTTGCTCATCTGAGTCTCTGCTTTACAGGCTCCTACGTTTGTGGCATCTGTGGCAAGAAATACAAGTACTACAACTGCTTTCAGACGCATGTCCGGGCGCATAGAGGTGAGCCGTCACACCACAGAATGACCCGGGTATCGTCCACAGAATTAATTTCTAGTATTTTTAACACGGGTTTCTGACTTTGAGGAGGGATTTGGAGGCAGGTCCGTTCGGACTGCCAAGCAGTCTGTGTGTTTTAGTTTCTTTCTGGCATGTCGCACTCCATGCCGGTAATTGTCATGTCTCTTCTCAGAGTCAGAGGGTGGATCTGGAGAAGGAGGATCGCAGGCAGTGAACTGTGAGTATCGGAGCATTCCGGCTATCCATCTTAGGATTATTTGCTCAGTGCTCCTCTTCTTGAGATAGACTTACAGTGGGGATGAAGGTTTCGTTCCAAAACACCATCTGTATGATGCTGGGAATCACATAAAAGATTTGTCCCACTGCGTGGGAATGCCTTTAGTTGCCCCATAACTTTGGTCTCCCAGTAGGTGAAATTCAGGGTATGGATTGGGTCTGTGGGATCTCCAATATGTGTGTGTGTGTTTTTTTTTCTCTTTAATCAGTCAGTTACTTCACTCCCTCATTAACCTGCTGTCACAGTTTAATTTCCTTATGACTGTATTTATTGGTACCTGGCAATTTATGTATGTTGAATACAGAGGAAAATGGGTGGCTGCCTCAGTTTTATAGATTTTACTTTCAACTTAAAATAAGTGTAAATGCCTGGGCAGATTGGTGCTCTTCAAAGAAAATTCACTGAAGATTTTAATTCTCATCTCCCATAAGTATTCATTATTTTTTTCCATTAGTTTTCCCATAAACCTTCACATGAATGATGTTGCGGAGTGACATAATGGCTGTGATTCTTCTCCAGCTCTTGTGGTTGTTGGATAAAATCGGCAAATGTCAAATTCTTGAGGATTGCAGATCCATTTCTGAAGTCATTGGCATTCCTTTTTCTTCATTTTGCTATGCTGTTAAATTTGTGACCCATCAACCCTCCTAGGATTTGAGCATGTAGAAAATTAGCCGTAAATCTTGTCATATGAAATGTTGACGGGGGGTGGAGGTGCCCTGCGTGACTCTTCCAAAAGCTAGTCTTGAGATTCCTGGGACCACGGTTGCAGCCTGTGCCGTCCAGAGGACCCTAAACCTGGAATGCTCTTATGGTCAGAAGCCTCAGAGAACCACACAGCTGACAGAGACATAAAAACGTACTTGGTGTTTCAGGAAAAATATTCAATGGACAAAGGAAACAAAACTGGTACTGTGGAAATGCAAATCAGCCCTTTGATTACAGATGGGGCCTTCAGAGAGAACTACACCCTTCCTGCAGCCAAAACACAGTGAAGGTCCCATAATTCTCTGGGGTCACTCTCTGGTACTGGAGACCTTGGCGTCACTATATCGTCATGGCATTTTGGTGCGTGATGTCCAATCCAGTGTCATGAAAGGATAATGCAGGATGATCCTATAACCAAAATCTAGAAGCATCCAAGACTGGCTGATATTAATCCTAGACCTTCTTAGAGATGAAACCTTTGGGGAAAACCTGAAAATGTCAGAGGGATGAAAGTGTCCTTCTGACAATGACAAATTAGTGCTTTACATTTGGGGGGGCAGATTTTCAGTAGAAAAGAGCATCAGGCTAACTGATACAAGGAACATGCTTTTGCTTACAGGCTAACTGATACAAGGAACATGCTTTTGCTTACCAGACTGAGCACAAATGGCTCTGTCCTGGTGTTTTGTGAGTTTTCTACACAGAAATTCCCTTTTCTTAATTTGCAAGTGAAGTTGGTTTCAGAAAATTTAAAAAGATGGATAAAATTCTCAGATGCCAGTAAACATGACCTGAATTGTACATCAATGAATGTCAGTGGTGAACCTCCAAGTATGGTGGGTGCTCGGGGGCAAGACTGAAATGAACTGGGGGGGGGGGTAGTAAGAAAAATAGGATATTACAGCAAAAGATAGAGAAACCTACTGAAAAGAAATGAAATAGTTTGTCGGAATGGAGAGATGGTGAGAAATCAATCATTCCCCCTGAGGTGCACCTTGGAACTGAATTTTCTCTGTCCTCTAAAGACTGCCTTTTTTATGAACACTCAATAACAAACTCCAAAAATCTGTCCTAGATTGAGCAGGCAAGCGAGTTTTATTTGTCTGTAGCTTCTGTTTGTCCTCCCCACCTCCACCGCCACTGTAAAAACAACTTGAAGAATTAGTGGTGTATAATGGCCGTGAATTAATCACCCAGTCACCCAGGCTCATCAAAAAAAAAAAAAAAAACACGCCCTGCGAGGGAGTCTGTTGTCATTGATGTGCATTTCATTAGCTACTGATGCAAAAATTCACATTGTGGCTGGTGGATACACCCACGTGACATAGGGATTGGTGGGGAGAATGGGGGGCGGGGTTTCGTGGGTAGGTGAGCTGAGGAAATGTAAAAACAACATTTTCGTGCACTTATCAGAAACAAATGACAGATGACTGAAAGGTAGATGGTTACTCCCGGTTTCTCCCTATCAGAAGCAAAGGTTTGTTTTATGCAGTGTAACAGATTAGTGGTGAGTAGAGACTTGTCTGCTGAACTCCTCACTCCCCCGAAATGTCCACACCCTCCCTGAGTCAGTGACAGTGAATGAATGGGTTTCCCCCGTTCCATTTCATAGTTTATTATGGACTCTGTTCCTGCGCTAGTGTTAGGCTAATGTTCTTCTTTCGGACCTGATATGTACAGAACATCACTCTAATCACAACTGTTGGCGGTAGTGTCAAGCTGAATCATTTATCGTCTGTCATGTTTATCAGGATAGTATGTTGAAGCTGAATAGTGGGGGGAAAAGAACTTAATTGTTAAGGTCTTAATGCGTAATTGTTATGGGGGGAAACTATAATGAGCTATGTATTAATCCCCTTCCGTGTTTGTGTATATGAAAAATGAAGATAAGCAAAACTCATTACATATCAATTAACTGGAAGATTCGTCACTTTATGAATTTCTTTTTCTGGGCAAAAGTTTCCTGTGGCTTCCTCAACTTTTCACTGGATCATTCATTAAAATTTTTGTCGCGGGACGGCTAGTGGGCGGCAGGCCTGGTCGAACGTTCACCCTTCCTCTGACAAACTGTAAGGTGCAGTTGTTCTCTCTCCATGCCGCCGTAGTGAGGACGTGCACTGCAGTCATGCTGTGGCTTAGAAATCCGATCCAATCTTTATCGCTGTCGTTTAGAATTTCTCGGTGACTGGCAGTGGATGTGCAGCCCAGTGGGTCCGTATTTAAGCGGCACGAGGGCGAACGGGTCACGGCCAGTACGCACACATCTGCGGTCACTGTGGCTTTAAGCGCAGACCCGTTGAAAGTAGGTTCCACCCACGTGTAGGTATATAAATGCATTTCCCCGGGGCTGTCGTTGAGGAGCGATTAGCAGATGAGCGATGTTTCGCAAAACAACAGGAAATTGAAAATGGAGGGAGGGGCTCATATCTCCACGGCATCTTTTCTCGTTGTCATGTTTATTTTTGTTTTGCATTTCTGCTTTTCTATTTTAGTGTCCTTTTCATCTTTTTTCCCCCTTTTTCTCGTTTTTAATTTGGTTTGGAGATTTTTTTTTTTTCCTTTTTCCCCATCCCCTTAGGCATGCAAGGCGATTATTAGTGGGTTTGTTTTAGTTCAGAAAGTGACTCTGTGATCCGTGTTTTGCCGTTTCTCTGTGAACGTCTCTATCGTTGCTGAGGCTGAGCCGTGTCCGTCGGCCTGAGAGCGAAGGCCAGTAACACCCACGTTTACTGCAGGCAGGTGGGCAGACAGACAGCACGGTCTCTCCGCTTGTGTTCCTGCAGACAGCTTCCGCTACACCTGCGACATCTGCGGCAAGAACTACAAGTACTACAGCTGCTTCCAGGAACACCGCGACCTCCATGCCGTTGATGGTACAGAATCTCTCGCCGTTGACGCACCGAGACGTGATTGGATGGAAATTGCTTCCGGGTCATTCCATATCGGCTCATCAAATGCCTCTCACCGAGCCATCTCAGATTTACCTAAAAATATTCCAGAGCGAAGATGTACTTTCTAGCAGGAAAAGTATTAAATTTCAGGTCCTTCAAATTTTATAGGGTAAATATCAGGTACTACAATTCAGTGAACTCAAGAATGTGGCTAAAGTTCGATTTAAAAATCCTTGGTGGTAGAATTTTCTATGCATGCATTCATTCATTCATTCATTCATTCATTCATTTTTAAAAATCAACTTTGTGACCTCCGGCAGCAGATTTGAAGACCAGTAGAAACCACCATTTTAAAGGTAGGGAACAGATATTTTATGTACGGACAAAATGCAATATATTGTCTGAAGTTGTCCAAATCAGATGAATGTTTTCAGAGATATTAAAGCCCGGTTTGTGATGGTGTTCTCGTTTTCGATATACTCCTGTGTTTGTATCTGGAAGCCTTCAGGTGCTTATTCTTACACTTGTAATCATGTAATTGGGACTCACTTTAAATTTATATGTTTTTCCTAGTATATGAGAAGCACTATGAAATCTAAGCCCACTGACTAATGAATATGGACTCTCAGGAATGCAGCTCAAGTTCAACATAGAATGCTGGATGCTTGAATTTCATGCGAAAAATATATAATCGACTGTGTGACCTCCAGTAGCAGATTTGAAGACCTGTAGGAACCACATCTGTGACGTCCCCCGATTATGACATATACTAAGTACAAATTGAGTTTTGTGGAACAAGTTTCTCTTAACGTTGCACCAAAACATTGAGATGCGTTTTTCTTATTTTCCCAAAATTTAATTTTTGAAATATGTGTACAATGGCCACCAAGTGTATATATTAACACTTGTGAGAACCAGTGTTTTTAAGATGGAGGCCTTACATTTCACAGCTTTAATATCTCTGAAACCATTAATCTGATTTGGGACCCCCCAATCTTATTTTATGTAATTTTAGGATATTTTAACTCCCAGCATTCTTTGTTGGACTTGAGCTATATTCTTGAGTACATATTCTTATAGTACCAGATATTTATCCTATAAAATTTGAAGGACCTAGCTGAAGTATTTTTCTAGATATCGCAGCTTTAAAATGGCCCCTCAATACACACTATTAGAAAAAGACCTAAACATACACCCCACCCCCCTTCATGAATTATTTATTTTTTTTTTTGAGAAAACTAATCAAGGTACATGTAAAAGTTTGTGGTTTTCCTACTAGCCCAGGAATTTTTCCAAATCTGAGGTGGTCATGTGGGATTTATTTTTTTTTTCTTTTTCACTTTCTGATGAATTGAGATGGTATGACCCTTCCTGTCATGTGAATCGTGACCAGTAGCTGACAGATTGATTCCTAATTTATGTAGTCATGTTACTGTTGGTAAGCCTGTACCTTTTTTGAGTCAGAAGAGATTCATGGGAAATTTAGAAATTGCTAATTGGAAGGAACCTTTTAACGTAATGGGCTGGCACAGTAGCACAGGGATTGGCATGATTGCCTAAGGCTTCTAAGACCAGGGTTTAATTCCCTGATCTAAGTGTGTGGAGTTTGTATATTCCCGTGTCCTCTGGGTTCTCTGATTTCTCCTCACAATCCATGAACATAAAGGTAATTGGAGGTTCCAGATTGTCCGTAGGTGTGAAATCGTGTGTGGATGTGTTCCCTATGAAGTGGGTTATTCCCTGCTTTGTGCCCACTGTTTATGGGATAGGCTCCTGACTCCTGCAGATAGATATTAGGGCTGCATGATATCACATTGCAGTATGATGCATGTGCCTTAGTAACCAGGGCTTTAGATTACAGGTCTAAACATTTATCTGGATGCCAGCTTTTTGGCATATCCTTAGGTTTAATAAACCTGTCAGACTTTAAACTGTAAAAAGTACCACCAGATCACGTGTGTTTTTTTTGTGTGTTTTACCTTGTTTATCCACAATCTCTTCCTTCAAAAGATGTTGTAGATGCTGAGCTGTCCCTTTCTTCACCACCACTTCAGGGTTTATCGTTTTCATGATAAGACAGTAGTATGTGGTGTGCTCCACTAACCAAATTTAATAAACATAAGGATTTGTCAATTTTATATAGATCACTAACTTTTGCACATCACAATATGCCTCAATATTATTGCCGCACTACTAATCTGCTTATGAAGTCGTGGGTAAGCAAGCGTCTGTATAGTTACCGAAAGGCTGGCGTCTGAACAGATGTTTACGGCCGTCACCTAAACCCTCCTGGTTATGGCACGAGACAAATAATCACGCTGTGATATCATGTAGCCTAGATAGATAAAATCCCAAAGGAAATTGTAGCTGTCCAATAGCTAAGCACAAACATTTAGAGAGCTAAAAGCACGTTATGGCACATTAATAGATGGCAACAATAAATAATATTGGGCAAGCAGTATAGATTAGTGTCTCCCAAACCAGTCCTTGGGGCTCACTGGTCAGCGTGTGGTTCAGTGGGTTAAGCCTCAGTGCCTGCGATAGGTAGGTTGCTGGTTTGAACCTGGCCTCATCGCATCTGCAGGTCTTGAGCAAGGCCCTTAACCCCCAGCTCCCTAGGCGCTGCTGTGGGTGGTTGCCCTTCACAGCCAGCTTGCTCTCAGCTACAGAGAGGAAGTTGGTGGATGCATAAAGAGAATTTCTCCACGGGGATCAATAAAGTATGAATAATAACACATTTCTTATTATTGTTTAATCCCAGTCCCCAGCACACCTGACCCAAGCAATCAGAAACCCTAAATGCCTTACAGGTGTGCTGGGGACTGGGATAAAATAAAAATGTGGATCTGTCCAGAGTGTCCTAAGCACTGGTTTGGGAAACACTGGTATAGATGACTATAAAACCAGTATAACTGGGGGAATGTGTGCAGCTTGGATGAGCGTTGAGGCTGGTTGTGTGTCATCGCTGTTCCCCACAAATGCAGATCCCTATGACCAGGTGGTCATACCTGTGGACGACCAGAAGGATGAGGAGCAGATGGAACCCTTCCAGAAGATTGGGCCCAGTAAGTGTTCAAGAGGGGGCACCAGCCCTGTTTATTATTATTCCTGGGGCAGGTAAAGTGTTCCATGGTCAGGGAGCGTTTGACTGCTGGTTGCTGACCTTGGAAATGTTCATGATTCTTAAACAATATAAATCTGATTGACATGAATCCTCATATTCTCACATTCCCTGATAATTTTAATGTTTTCTTCCCACCACTGAAAGAGATGGTGACTCTGAATCACCCTTAATTCGGGGTGGGTGGGTGTGCACCTCGTTCCCCTCCCTGATGCCCCATACATCTATCTGTCCCTTTCAGAGACCGGCAGCTACGTTTGCGAGTTCTGCGGAAAGCAATACAAGTACTTCAACCCATACCAGGAGCACGTGGCGCTGCACACGCCCATTGGTATGTCTAAGTGTCCGTCCCTGTCCCCCCCCCATGCGACCCGTTTCCTGTTTAACACACGCCAGGTTTTTTTTTTTTTGATCTGCCCATTTCCTTGTGGGAGGTCCCAGTCTGTACGTCACATAGCTACTGGCTTACTATAGGTTCTGGAAGGTAACCCTTCTTACGTTGGCAGGCCTGCATTGCTACGAGAGATTAAATGCACGGTTTCAATACTCTTCAGTATTGACTTGTGAATTAATTATGAATAAATGTATACATATGTAAATATATGTGCATACGCATAATAATAATTGTACTTGTATAAATGTGTAAATATTCATGCATGCGCGCTTGCCGTGCCCTGTGATTTTCCACTAAAGCTTGTGAAGTCCCTTGAGTACAGTGAGGCTGAGCGTCGAGCCTCTCCTGGGTGTGGAGCCCGTCTCATACCTCAGCACCTCTTCGCCCTCTGGTAGCTGTCTGCCAGCCTGTGGTCGTTAAGTGGGATGGGGCGCGAGTTCCAGTCCCCTGAGGCCCCCGAATCAGCGGGTGGTTCCACCCGGGCCTCAGATCCGGCAGAATCCACTTAGTCTCGGCTGGTCGTTTTCCTAGAGCGTTCTGAAGCCTCGGCACGTAATGAGGACGGAAAGCGGGTTCTGGGGTTCTCTGGAATCGGACTGTCCTGCCTCGGGGGCCGTCCCGTCTCAGATCGGGGACGCTCACCGGCCCTGCTTGTTATCTCCAGCTTTGGGGCCTTGTTTGTTTCCTTGGGAGACAAGCTGGAGTGCGCCAGTCGGTCACGTCGCCGAAATGCAGGCAGGGTAAAGGGTGGGCATGGGAGGTTCCCTTTCTGAAGTCACATGGTCACTGGTTCATGCCATCAGCATCAAGAAAATCTCTGAGTCTGTGATTCCCCCCCCCAATTATCCTTGCAGGTCGGTCCTTGCAGTCGGCACCGGCCCGTTCACAGCAGCGTTCGGTCGACTCTGCCAAATTCAGCGCCTCTAAATCGGAGCCCGTGCAAATAGGTAAAGGGTGTGTGTGTGTGTGTGTGTGTGTGTGTGTGTGTGTGTGTGTGTGTGTGTGTTGTTACCGTGGTGATTGCCAAAACAAGATGATGACGGGGGGGCTGAATGTCTCATGGCTGTAAAGATGAGACTTTGCAGTGGTCTTGCATGTGTGTGTGGCAGGAGGAGTGAGCCTCTTCACCACCTAAAAATCTGGATGACCCCCCCCCCCCAGCATGTACAATATGCTACTTTAAATCATTTCTCCTGCTGGAGCTGTTCCCCATTGTTGGTGTCCGTTCTCCATCTCTCTGCCCATCTCCAGCTCTGCATCAATTTAGGTCTGTGCCCAAAACCACCGTCATTGAAAACTATTTAAAGTTTGTCATGTAACTGGGTCAGGCCGAATATTAAGGAGGGATAAAAGGCGGTTTAAAAAAAAAAAAACACTTTATAGCGTGTCCTTAAAACAATCCATTATCGATAGCCGAGCTTTGTAATGGCTAATCGTGAACCCGGGGCACTGCAGGCTGAAATTAAAAAGGATGGAAGTGGATCTGGGAGGCCGTGTGGGCCGGCGGGGGCCCCAAAGGCTTTTTGTCAATGTCTCAGGGCCCCGCCCCCCTTCTTCTTATAACTGCGCCTGTTAGCAGCCGAAAACACACGCGGGATGACAGGAAATAGCCGGCCGCCTTCCCTTGTGAAAAGCTCCTGACGTTTCCCGCTTTTTCCCTAGAGGGCGCCACCTGCCGTAAGCGGGAGGGGAAGATGCAGGCAAGCCAAGGCGACACCAACAGCTCGCAGAACTCCAGCGGTGAGTGGCCCTTCCTGGCCTGGGTGGGATGGCCCAGTTGCTCTCAGGAAATGAGTTGGGGGAGTGGTCAGAGGGTTACGGGGGGGGGTACGCTCATATTTTTTCCAGCACAGTTGCTGAACTTCACTCCTGTTTCAGTGTCTCCCCCTCCCCCCCCAGGCCTTTACACTGGTGCTACAAATTGGCTAAACTGTTTCTGTGTGTCCCTTGCTCATTTGCTTCCCCCCCCCCGCCCCACAGGAACGGCAAGCCCACAGGTGTCTGGCTCTTTCCCCACCGTGCAGAGTAAGTACCCCCCCTTCAGTGTTGGATGACCCACACACAGTAAGATATCACCGTTACCCATAGCTTCTGTCTGCCTTGCTTGCACTAGGGTCTTGGTTTGCCTGACGTTTCTAATGTGTACAGGAAGGAAAGTGGACCGGCAGAAAAGATATTTCTGATGAAATTGTGTGTATATGGGAAGAGAATATGCTTGTAATTTAGAGAGCCAGCTATGATCTGCGATGGATTTAGTCTGTTCAGTGGCTGGTTGTGATAGAGCCAACCTTGAGGTTCCGGTGTTACCTCTGCGTCCTGTGTGCCCCCTACCGGCATTGCCATCGATGTCGTAGTGCCGAACGCACTCAGTTTTTGTTAGCATGCAGAAATCCTCATCCCCAGCAGGTGGCGCAGCGGTTAAAGACTGGGATTTTCAAGAACTCGCGAGGGTGCCCTCTGTTGTACCCTTGACGGGTGTGTACCTCTAGCCATGACTGGAGTGCCTCATTGCCAGAATAGTGTGGTTATCTGGTAACTTGTCACCCTGTCACCAAATGTTTTACAAACCACCCCCCCCCCCCACCCGAGCCATTTCCACCTCTACCCATTTCCAGACAGGTACCCTGCTGGATTGCTCTCATGGACTCTCCTATTTTAAACCTAATGGCATCTCGCCACGCTCATTGATAATGGAAAAATTCTGTGCACGTCTCCATTAAATTTTTATCCAGCACAAAAAGAAATGGATGTTCGAGGTTAATGTCTTTCTATTCTCATCCATTTTTTTCTTTCTTAGAAGGACATTGCAGCTCCCGCCTCCCCCCACCCCTCCCCCGGCCACTATTAAAATAAAACTCCTTATTACAGTCCCTTTCGGCGACCTACATTGGCGTAGCATCCGCGCGGGCTGGGTTCTTGCGTGGCCGTGCTGTTAAACGGAACGTGGGCCTTGTTGTTCTAGAACCCTACACATGTGGAGCCTGTGGCATCCAGTTCCAGTTCTACAACAACCTGCTGGAGCACATGCAGTCGCACGCTGGTGAGTGAGCCGCACGTAGATACAGATTACTAGATTGGTAAACCCCCCTTTCCCCCCTCCTGCCGAGAATGACCATCAGAACGGCTTCCAGGAAAACGAAAAAGAAATTTGCGGCGTAGTCCGAAACTTTCCCCCACCCTTCAAAAAAACAAAAAACAAAAATTGCATCCAGATTCACCTGTAATTATCTGCAGTAGAAGGATTTGTGGGTTTAAAAAAAAGAACTGTATTTTGCGTCCGTTGAGGATGCCGACTTGCTTAAGCAAGTTGACGGCTCTTCGGTGAGTCGCAACCAATCTAGTATGTCTATATCTATGGAGCTGCTACACAGCATCTCCCGGTACACTGAGAGCAGGTGCGACAGTTTAGCAGGAAGAATGTATTCGGGCTGGTAGCGTAACACTCACCTTTCTGTGTGTTATGTGCATTTTTAATGCATTTTTTTCCTCTCTCTCTAAGAAGGATCTAGTGACATTCCAGTTTCCTTGTGCTCATGACCTGTTGTCCTGTCCCCCCCTTCCCCTACCGCCACTGTATTTGCCTGCAGCGGATAACGAAAACCACACCAAAGTGGAGTCCCCCAAAACGTCGCCGGCCCCCACGCCGCAGGAGCAGGTGTGGAAGCCGCTGATCCAGGCACAGAGGAACCACAACACTAGCAGTGAGCATCCTTCGTCGTTACCCTCGGCATCATAATGGCGACCTTTGTCTCTGTGCTGGTTAGCAGTTGCTCTGCGAGCCCCTCATACGAAGCGCGTACCTTTACATATTATGCAGCCTGATATGCAGTAAATGTCTCAAGGTTACAGCAGGAGTTGGTGATTGGAAATCGCCCCTTTAAGGCCGGGGGTTATTCATGCGTGGTGGTGGCCGCATAATTTTCCTGGTTAATGCATTTAATACAGTGTGGTAATACAGTGCTGTCCCCCCCTCTCTCTGTCTGTCCCCCCCCCTCTCTGTCTGTCGTCCCCCCCCCCCCGTGAACAGCGGCCTCCCGGAGAAGGAGCGCCAGCAGGTGGCAGAGCGGCTGCTGCGTGTCATGTGTGCCGACCCGGGGCTGCTGGGTGTGCTCGGTGGCAAGGACTTCCTGAAGCTGGCGCAAACGCTGGTGGATAGCGGGGCGCGACATGGTGCCTACTCGGTGCGGGAGGGCCTAGGGGACATGGGTTCGCTGGCGCTGCGCCAGCTTCCGCGCACCTACAACCAGGTGAAGGTGAAGGTGACTTGCGCGCTGGGCTCCAGCGCCTCCCTGGGCATCGCTGTCACCTGCCACTCTCAGACGGTGGGCGGCGCCGGCTCCTGCTACGTGCTCTCCGCCTACCAGGTAGAGGGCGTGCGGCTGCGGCGCTACGTGCTCGGCGTCAAGGAGGTGGATCTCCGTGAGCCTGGCGAGCAGGTGCACCACTGGGTGCAGAACGTGCTCTCGGAGTTCGTCATGTCGGACGTGCGCGCCGTCTACGTGACGGAGCCGCGGGCAGCGGCAGCGGCGGCTTTCTGTGGCCGGGTGGGGGCCTGTCTGCGCTGTGCCGGCTGCTCGCTGGGCGCCGTGGCGCAGGCCGTACTGGGCAAGCGCAGCCTGCAGACGCGCGGCCTCCACGAGCTGGCTGAGCTGCTGGCCGCCTGCCGGGACATCGCCGGGGCGGCCGGGGTGCCCTGGGACGCTGGTGTCGGGGGGCCTGAGGAGCCCTCGCCACAGGCCCCACCCCCACCCTGCTGGGATCGTACCACGGAGGCCCTGCTAAAGGTGCACCAGCGCTTCGACCAGATCTGCGAGGTTTATGGGCGCAGCAAGAGCACGGCTCCCCTCCTGCAGAGCCTCAACAAGCACCTGCTGGCCACGCTGGCCTCACTGCTGGCACCGCTGCGGCAGGCAGCCGTGGAGCTGAGCTCGGAGCGCCGGCCCACCCTGCAGATGGTGCTGCCCGCCTACCTGCGCCTGGAGAAACTTTTCACCTCCAAGGCAGGCGAGGCGGGCGCCGGGAGCAAGCTCTGCCACTACTTCCTGGAGGCACTGAAGGAGAATTTCAAGGTGGAACGTGTCCACCAGGTGGCGATGGTGCTGGACCCCCAGCTGAAGCTGCGGCCCGTGCCGGCCTATCAGCACGAGGAGATCATCGGGAAGGTGTGTGAGGCGGCCGCAGAGATGAAGGAGGGCCCAGGTGGCGGCGGGGGAGTGCAGGGGGAGGACTGCGACAGTGGGGGGCCCGAGGGTCCCCCAGGGGCCAAACGGTGCCGTGCCGAAGGTGGAGACAGCCGCGGCTCCTGCACCTCAGACCAGCAGCAGGTGCGCAAGGAGGTGTTCCAGTACTTGGCGGAACCGCTGTTCCACGCCACGCCCGACCTCTTCCAGTACTGGAGCTCCGTGATGGAGAAGTACCCGCGGCTGGCACGCCTGGCGCTCTGGCTGCTGGCTGTGCCCGCAGTAGGCGTGCGTGGCGAGTGCGCCGGTGTGTGCGAGCAGGCACTGGCTCTGAAGAGGAGGCAGCAGGTCACGGCCGAGGAGATGAACAAGCTTATCTTCCTGCGCTCCAATATGTCCTGAAGGACCACGGCGAACCAAATATCCTCAGTCCTGCTTTTAACCAGAGCCCTGCGTGAGGGACCCGCTTAAAGTTATTTTGTTCTCTGAAGTGTATTTTAGGAAGCCTTTAAGAAAAAAGTAGGTTTTTTGTGTGTGTAGAGTACACTGTCTGCAGTGATATGATTTAGTACTTTTTCTTTTTCTACTCTGAGATGTATGGAAGACGGAAGTTCATTTGTAAACATGTGATTACGCGCCCTGTCCCTGTACGAAAAAACAACAAAACCCTGCGGCTCATCCTAACAGAAATGCATCATGAACTCTACCTGGCAAAACCGTTTATCCTCAATGCTCCTGCTAAAATCCTGTTGCAAACTGGCCGATCGATCCCTACTTCTGCTAAAGGGGGCTTTGGGGGTGGCAAAGCAGCCCTTCCCCCGTGCACAGCAGGGGTCTGCACGCCGATTTCTGTGTGTGCGCGTCGGCGATGGCCTGGGACTGTCAACATACATCTACTGTCAAGACATGACCTCTGCTCTATAATGCCGTAAGGACAACACAAACACTTTCACTGGTGCTACGGAGTATGGCCGTTTTGGAGTAGATCTGCATGATTCCAGGATTATTTATTATTTTGTTACAGATGACATTTTAAGTAATGCCTTCTCTATTGTCAAAGTGGCCTTCTGTGTTTTTCCTTTTCTGTACTCCTGTTTTTAATTTTTTTTTAATGAGACTACAGCTCGTGGTAAATCACAAAAGACACTATTAATTCAGGAAAGTTTAATTATTTAACCTCGTCCAGTTTTACTCTTCTCTCCTCCCTACTTATAAAGATAAACGCATCTGAAAGGTCTGCACCCAGAATAGGTTTGGTAATTCCCCACAACCCGCTGGGTAGCTCTGCACGCCCAGGTTTGTTCTGTGACCTGTTTGATGGCGTCCCGCATAGCGCCGTCTGTGGACCTGCTTTCGAAGCCTCACTGGCAGTGTTGCTCGCAAACAATGTGGAAGTTCAATTTTAATTTTTATACCGTTGTTGTCATTGACCTAATTTCTCAGTCTTCCTTTGGTCTTGTGAGCTCTGTGTAAAAGCTACAGATCAGTACAGCCCAGTGGTGAAGCTCTTTTGCCCTTTTCCGCAGACTTGTATAATAGTAAATATTCCAAAGACATTTAGAAATGGCCAGTTTTGTTGGTTTTACACTGGATGCTGTTTCTAAGACCTGAATCTCATCTGTGCTACAGCTACGCTTCAGCCGTGTTTCATGTCCCTTAAATTTCCAGTCCGCTGCTTATTTATTGACTGTTTTGTTTCCCAGATTATTCACTTTCCACTACTGCAGTCTTATGGGTCAAAACTAATTGGGTCAACGGTGTGCAAATCTGTACTCTTTACACTCCGCGCAGGCAGGTGTGTGGCCTGCATTTCTCCTGCGCCTCTTTGCCCAGCTGTCAACATCAGGAAATGAGATTAGAGCCCAAAGTAAGTGAGTTGGCGTTTTAGAATGTTGTTTGTTCTGGTTTTACACTTTGAAATGCAAGTTTTCCATTAGTTTAATTATGAATACCTTGAAAGAGGGCACCCCATTCAGGACTATGTATGTGTTTGACAGAACCGCAGAGCGCATCCAACAGATTGCACAAACTATGATCACTTTTCCCATATTGTAATTATTTGATTGTTTGATTTAATTTAAATATTTGTATTCTTTAGAAGCCTTATCCTACATGTGAGTTTGAGCAGTTGGATCTCCAGTTCTCTTGCAGCTTAAGCTCATGTGCAGTTAAACCATCTTGTTGGATCTAATGGTCATTAATCTCTGCTCCTCCTGTCACCTGGAGCGCACATTGCACTGGGAGGTACGGCTTAACAAGTGGAAAGTCCAGCAAAGACCCAGAAAGAGCTCGACTTTCACAGTTTGAAAATCCTGATTTCGTTAAATGAATCAGTCCATGCCTGTAAATTCAATTCGAGAGCAAGCCGTTATACTTTTAGCACTGATCTTATCTGTACTAAAACTTCAGAGGCAGCCGTTGTTTTCAGAAATCAGTCGCTTTATTCATTATAACAATTGTAACAGGACGCTTAGTTCGTCACTCGAGTGCATTTTCATTTTACATCGAGACAAGGATTTGAGTAAATTAAACTTTTACTGAAAGTACACTTGAGTTATACTAAGACCTAATGATGGTCTGTGTACCAGACTAAAAAGTGGCAAATGCAGTAGCAATTGTGTCCAATACCCATATATTTAGATTGCAGATTGAAATAATCGCAGGAAAAACATCTGTACTGTATTTGCAAATATTTTCAGTCACAAAAGGGCCGCTGGATGCTTTGTACAGTGGCTCACTAGTGCCCAAACTGCTTTTGTTGACTCATCTGCAAGCTGCAATAGCCTGAGGAAAGAGATTCTTTGTTAGATGAACATGCAGCAGAGCTGTAAGGCTACTTTGCCCTGTGCATCGTTACAGAGATCCGGGAGGTGAAATCTGGGCCTGAAATTGCCCTAAATGTTTCCGATTTAGTGACTTTACTAGTGCATTTCAGTTTACTCAGCTGAACTTTAAATTTTTTGTCTCGCTGTTGAATGCTTATGCTGGTTTTCTGCTTGGCAAATGCATAGTTTTGTATATTGACTAGAAGTTTTGTTATTCTGTGTTTGAAACGGCTGTGGTGGAATGGTTGTTACCCAAAGGTTTTAGACTTTGGATGTCAATGACGGTAAAAAATTGCAAAAACCCTACTTTCGGAAAGCGTTAAAGCATTTCTCCTAAAATTGTTAGTATTTGTATTGCCTATCCAGGCTTTTTTAATCGAGTTGTAACTATTACGAAAATGTGCATGCTGTTAATGTAGAACAGTGAAGATGACATGAGAATAAAGGTAAACTGATTTTGTTTGCATATATAGTAAATTAAATTTTTGGGGAGTTTCTAAGCAACTGTACAAAAACTGCTGTTTAAATCCACTAGAGGGCGTACATGTTCAGAGTATGAGAGGGACACCTGTAGTTTTGAAATGAACGTTTTTAATAAATTATTTAATCAATGACATCATAGATACAGTCCTAGAGTAATGTTCTGAGATTAAGTTCTTATGTATTTTTATGCCTATGTTAGAGACTTATTGCTGAATAGATTTTTTTTTTTTGCTCTTTTTAACCTTTTTTTGGGTGGAAAAATGGATAAATTGTAAATATAAAAGTACAATATGAATGCTCTGATGCTGTAGTTTTCTGTCAAAACATCAGTTAAATTCAGATATTTCCTTGTTTGGTTCATTTATTTATGGATTACATACATTGTTTTATTTGTCAGAATGCTGAACTTCTTGAATGCAGTTTTATTTTTTCCTCCCAAGATTTTGACAGTTTCCCATGAGTTTTTGTTTGTCTAATCAGTAGACCTAATTTATACTTTTTTAGCTACACTATTTTTATATATTGCTGATTATAGCATTCAGTGTGTCTCGTTTCTGAATGTCCACAGCACTGTAAAATGTACTTCAAATATGTTATCCACTGTAGTATGTGCTGTGTAAATAAAACTAGCTCAATCTGATATTTCTGTGCTCTTAAATGGTCATTACTGCTGGTGTGTGTTAATGTTGGCGTTACGGATTCAGCTTTGACATGGGTTTCCCTGGCTGCGTGACAGATGAGGACCCCTCATTGGACAGAAATAACTTGTCATTTATGTGAGTAGAATTTAAAATGGGCCATTCATTTTTCTGGATGGGTTGTTGAGTGAGGTAATGTCAGAAATAAGGATGGACTGTACGTTCCTTGGACTGGAATCCAACCTCAATACTCCTTATGCTACTGTTTTGGATCGACTGTACTATCCGGTCCCTGGAAGGTGCATTATGCTATTCTGTGAGTGTTTTGTCAGCTTAAGGTCATTATTGCTTGGAATGAACGGGATTTTCTTTCCTTTACATTGACAGTCTGTGCTGTGTTTTGAAAAATTCGTTAATTTGGTTCCACTTGGAAGTGACAGCTATTACTCAGCAGGGATGAGCTCAGGCCTGGCTTGTTTATTAAACAAAGCTGGTATAAAATGTCATCGATGGCTCTTATAGCACCTGTAATGAGGCAAGAGGTGGGAAAAATGGCGTAAACTGTGAAAAACGGTTACCTTGGTTAAATAACCTGTGTAGCGTGGGCTGTGTTACCAAAAAGGACAGTGTTGATTTAATTAGCATATTAATCTCTCTTAATGCAAAGCCTGAGTGTGTTAAAGTGAAAGGCTGCAATTACATTTTAAATTAGACATCACTGAAGCACTTAGGAGTTAAATGTTTCACAGAAAGCTGAGACATCAGGGTTGTTCAGTTTCAATTGGTCGTAATGTCGGAGTGTCAGATATACCAGATTTTCTCCATACCTTTGTTCTGTTTATCACCCTTTTAGCTGTGAGATTTTCCCTCCCTTCAACTGTCTCTTAAATAAACTAATATGGCAGATTCTCAGACAGTTGGGTTTGTATCCTGGGAGGAGACCCTGGGGTTCATGCCGAAGCTCATGACATTTTAACATGGAAACTGCCGGGGTAGCATTCGAACCCACAACCCTGACTAGGTATTGATAATGTCACCTGCCGTACTGTACTTCTCCTGACTGGACGTAGGCCTTTACTAGATGTTAATGCATTTGACTACCAAGAACACAGGTTATAACCAAATGTAAGTTGTCCACTGTTTTCTGTAGCTCTGGTTTAAATCGTGGCTTAGGTCTCAGTTCATTCAGCAAGCCAGATGTCTCGCTTGGTGTTTGGGTCATTTTTACAGTATATAAAGGCTCTTTAACATCTGAACATTGACATTGTGAACATTTGTGCTAAAACAATCCAATCATTAATAGTTGCACTATGTAGTTTTCTATTCTCTATATTCTTTCCTAAATTGGGGGTAGAATATGAATTTATGAATCCCAGCATGAGAGTATTTCTGATGACTACTTTTCGTTAAACACTCTGAGCAATTGACCAGTACCAAGTAGGCCCCACATTTGCCTCCAGAACCAGTTCAGGGGTGGACAAATTATACATTTGAAGGCACATTTCTGCCTGCCACTTTTGTACTAAGCTCTTAAATATACATGTGTGACCTTCCAGTTGGATTTAACCAGTCTGGTTGTTCTCCTTTGACCTCAAGTTTTTCACAACATAACTGCCAGTGACTGGATGTTGTTTTGTTGCATTTTTGTAAAACTTTATAGACAGTGTGTGAAAATCCCAGGATGGCGGCTGTCTAGCGACCCCCACATCCGGCAGCAGCGGCCATACCGCACATGGTCCCTTAGATCACACATCCAAGCCATTTTAACTCTTAGTCACACAGTAACAGCCTCTTGACCCTGACTGCTTGCTCTGTGTATTTAGTTACATACTGATGATTTGTTTTTTTGTATATGCAGGTGTGCCTAATAAACTGTCCACTGAATGTGCATCCCGAGTCCCAGTAGCACAGTTAATAATATGCAAGGGCTAAAAAAAAAAAAATAATAATAATAATAATGTGATTGCTTGCTCTATTTGTGGGAGATGAACCAGGTAGGTAAATGGAAACTGCAAACCTTCTACTTGTCAATGGCATAGGGGAGAGTTTGGGGGGGGGGGGGGCACAGCTTGAAATATAATGGTGTTTGCTGGTGGGGGGCACGTGCCCCTCTGCCCCCCCCCCCCCCCCCCCCCCCCCCCCTGCTTTTTGTAGTCCCTGTGCTGCATGAAGACTCGGAACTCCTTTCTACTCCCTGACCAGTAACATTTAAACAGTTAAAATGATCCTTTGTATGAATGGGAGGCAGTACACTGTCTGAATGTGTGTTTAAACCTCTCAGTATCTGACTCAAATATTTTCTGACAACAGATTTATTCCTCGGTTTGTTACTTGGATGAAAATGACCAGTTGGCCACTAAATAATACGTAGTAATATCCATCAAGCTGCATGAGGCGAGCGTGGGCTATATTTGCATCTTCCGTTTCTGCGGAGTTCTAGGGGCCTCCCACGCCAGCCGCCCCCAAAACGTGCTGGTCGGAGCAGTTAGCATGAGACGTAGCGGAGTCCGCTGCTTCCGGCAAGCCTCTCGCCTGCAAGCCTGCTGCTGGGCTCCTGGCTGGCCCCTCCCCACCCCGTGGTGATGTCACCCACTGCAGAGGCTCTGACCGGGTGCCGGGGCACGACTATGCGGCTCTCGTCTCGTTCTGCTGGCTCACCGGATGATGTCATCCGGACGATGTCACTGTAAATAAGCATGACTCAGAGTCGTGCTTAAGTGCCCACTCAAAAAAAAAAAAAAAAAAAAAAAAACCGCCATTGGGAATTCAAAGCAATCCCCACCCCCCAGCGCTGCAGCGCTTGTATCCTGGCGCTGTCTGAGAGCGCGTCTGTCAACTTGTGCTGAAATCCGTGACGTAATCCCTTAGTGGAATCGCATTCATGTAGAGACAGGGATAACTCGAGTCTCTGCTCCATCATTTTTTATCACGGTCGTTTAGCGTAATAACTCCAGCAGTATAGTTCTTAAGCAGATAATTATGAACTTTCTTGTTTAAAAAAAATATATATATATATTTCTAACTGGGCAGGTTTGTTGAACTCTGCAAGGAAGATGTTCATTAACGCACTAGAAAGCATCGCTGTCTATGGGAATGCTATCGGTCATAGCTGATACTCTCAGTGTGGCACAATGTGCGGCAGTATTGCCGACCTGTAGAATAAAAAGTGGAGCGTTAAGCCCACAAACCCATCGACTGTCAAAAGTGCCAAGATGCTCACAGCCATCTGCTGGGCTAAAGAATTTTCAGGTGGCAAAGGGTATTTCCAAGGCTATAAGAACCTGATGCTTGTCTGTTCTTAGTTGTAAAGTTGTAACTTGCAGGGATATAACCCCCTTCCCCCCCCGGAAGAGATATTAGCTGCTTCACTAATGGTGGGCCCAGGTAAGAAGCATTATCACCTGCTGGGTCGGGGTTCCAATCCTGACTGTCTGTGGAGTTTGTATGTTATCTAAATTGTCTGTAATGGATGGATGCTATTTAATTAGCAGGGAACTGTATGTTTCTACAAGCCTACGCTTGTCCCGTAAAACCACCTAGCATTCGGAAGTCTTGTGTAACGTGACGTCTCTGTGCTGCACAGTCATTGTTGATGAAGTTCAGATGGCTGGACTGGACAGCTGACATAATGGCCATTTTCCTGGTGAGCCGATGTTCAGTGCTGCTTCACGGACATCAGGGCCAGCAGGTAGCTATTAAGGACACAATGAAGGGTCTCTGTTGTCCTCGTAATATACCGAGGCAGTGTTTTGTTGGAAGGTAAATGAAAGAAGGACGTGGTGGCGATGTCAGAGCTAATTGGAGTGGCTGACATACCCGGGCTGGCTAGTATCCCGTACTGCTGGAAAGAAAATGAAAGCTGGTATCTTGTTGGCAGATTCTTACCATGGAGTTTGTCCCCATTGAAACTGCAAACTGGCACTTGGGAAGAGGCTACAGTCATTTTCACAACTTATTTTGATATAACCTGAACATAACTGCTTTCAAGGTCATGAAGACTATCAAGAAATGCAGGCGGGAAGATATTTCACTCGGGCCAATTTCTGCTTTTTGCTCTGCCTTCCTTGTTGCCTTATCTAGGCCAAATCCAGTAATTACGTTAAAGAATTCCATCAAAACAAGCAACTTAAGGACATGACTGTCATAAAGGAAAAAAAACACATGGGGTGGATGGTTCTGGGCTATGTGCATTCTTTCAGATATTAATAAAAAGATTTAATCCATTTGTTCTATTGTGCAATCAGACCAGTTTAAAGGGTAATATATGAACACTGTTCGTTTTCTGTCTTTTGGGAAGGATATTCCATTTATCGACATAGGCCTGTTTAGAATCCCGTAACAGGTTAAGTGTTTGGTTGTTTTACGTGATTGGATATGACAAGATGAACTGACAATTACATCTAGACGTTTACTTCCAATCTGTGAATTTAACCTTTCTGACAGTACAATGTTTTTTGTCTGTCATTCACCGATTTGACTGTGCCTTCACCTTTAAATTTCAGCTGCAGTTGCTGTTGCCAAGTTTCTTGTGCGGTTTTGTTTTTAATTTCTCCATAACACGCTGCCATTTGTATTTTGGCAATCACAATGTGGTTTCGCTATCCGCAAAACTGACACTTGTGAAATTTATTGCTGATTTCGTAAGAGATCCTCATTCCTTTAGGTTTGTTTCCCACCTGTTTAGAACGGAAAGCTTCCCCTATTTTTTGCCAGTACTCCAACCCTAGCCGTCTTTGTCATGTCCCAAAAGATGGTATATTAAATGGCAAACATACATGCTAGTGACAACAGCTACATGGCTGAGGATATTAACTAAATACCAAATAATAATAAACTATGATCAAACATTTCAGTATGATGATTGGGAATATGTGGCTTGGGGTACCTGGACCCATAAACAGCATAAATAGCAACCATAAACGTCATAGTGTCCGGTTGATTTTTCGGTTTTGAAGGGGCTTCTCATCCGTCGTGCCAGGCTCACCGGCAGATCTGAAAGCTG